TAGAAAAATGAAAGTACGACTAAAAAATAAAAAGATAGCTCATTAATATACAGAAAAATCAATATATATATATAGTTTCTGATCATAATAATATATACAGTAGTATTCTTCTAACTTTAAATAAACAAATACGATATACTAAGATATTTTAGTTTATGTCAATATAAGAGAAGAAAAATTTTGTCTAGAACTAATGACTTGCTTATATCAGAAATCACTTATTACATATTTTATTATATTATGTATATAAAAAAAGATAGCTTCACAAAGTATAGTAGTTGCTTTTTAACTAGGAATAATAATATTTCAATAAATTTATTTATTTTTATAGTATATTATTGTATAATAAAATATTTATTACAAAAACGAAGCTTAGATAATTTAACAACTAATATGTATTTACATAATAATTAATAGTTCTAATTCAATTTAAATAAATATATATTACAAGTAAAATTGTTAATAGGTTAGCTTAAGTTAAAAGTGCTAAAAATTCTGATATATTCATTAAAAATTATTATAAAAATTGTTAAAACCAATTAATAGCGAAATAAATCTAGCTAATTTCAATTGTTACACTTTGCAAAGATGTAACCTCTACTGTTATATGAAAAACAAAGATTCTATACATAAATAATTCAGAATTTTTGGTATGACTTGATATTAATAAATTGTAGTTTAAATAATTTTAATTGCTTCCACCAATCAATTATTTAGTTCGTCTAGTTAGGTTTAATCTACTAATAATTAGGCCTATATAAAATTTCTTTAATCACTAACTTATATTACAAGACTAAATTCGAGTAACAAACTAGTTAAAAAAAAGTAACCCAAATCATATATTATTATATTAACTAGACTTTAACGAACTTATTACTTTTCTGTTCTATAAATAGAAGAAAGATATTAAAACCAAATTTATAAACCCAAAACCTAAAACAAAAAACAAAAAGTAAAGAGAAATACTTATCTAAAGTTGTATCAAATTTAATAATACTGAATAATTTGAAGAAAATTAAATTGTTAAAGTACTTATATTTGCTGATATTAATTCTATCAGATAATAAATTATCTGATACTCACCGGCTAAACAATAATTTGAAAGAAATTAACTTTAACGAACTTATTACTTTTCCATCCTATAAGTAAAAGAAATATATTAATTAAACCAAATTTATAAACCCAAATCTAAAAAAATAAAAAATAAATTGTAATAATACTATATAGGATTTTTGCTTAAATAACATAATTCATTCAGCTAAATGAATAATTTAAAGATAGTTAAAGTTGTAAAAGTAAATATTTATATTTAAGATTTGCTGATTTTAATTTTACGATAATAATAAATTATCTTATACTCACTGACTAAATAATAATTTAAGTTGCAATAAAGTATTTATGTTAATGCTTCTGATTTTAATTCTACTAAGACTAAGTTATCGTTAGCTCAATTTAGTAATCTTTATATCTATAGAACTATTTAAGTAATTCTTGCTCGGTTTAATCTTCAAATAAAAGATAAAATTTTTAATAAAAGAGTATTCCATAAAAAGATATTTTGCACAAAAAATTACTTTGATATCACCTTCTTGAATTAGTGCAACTATCGAATGTCGAATTCTAACACAGTATTTATCAAACACTGCATTGTATCCTGCATATGATTCAACAAGCTATGGAATTTACAAAATTCATGAAATTTAATTAAAAAAGTAATAATAGTTTCGTGACCAAATTTATTCATAAAAAAAAAATCAATCAATATAAAAAAATTTTAATTGTTCTTTAAAAAATTATAATAAACTATGTCTCAATATGAATACGAAACAAATACTTATCCTGAAAATCCAGTAATATCTTACAAAACTCCACATCGAAGCTTAATTTACACTATAATATCTGAAGGTGTATATCCGACTGCTAATAAATTAGCATGGACTAAAAAACCAAACCCATATAAAATACCAGATCAATATATAGTACAAACAAGTTATGGAAAAAAAAGCAAACATACAACTATAACTTGTACGATTGACTATATTGAAAACAAACCACACTTCTTTGTCAAGTTTGGAGATAGCTTAAATGATTTTGTTATGTCTGATCAAAGTGCATCATGTGCTGCTAATGCATATCAAAAAGAAATAGATAAATGCCAAACATCTCAAATTGAAGAAAATCCTCCTAAAAGAATAAAAAAAGGTATTACTAAATGGTCAGGAGTTTTGTTATTTGGTTTACAACTACAGCAAATTAAAGAAATACGTGAGAAAAAATACATACATAATTTGAAACCTTTTGATAAATTAAGTGAATCAGGAAAACGAGCACGTAATAAAAAACTTGGATTAGCTCTTTATAACCAAGTTCAAAATGCTACTGAAACTTTATTTTGTGATAGTGACAAAATAGTGTTAAATGAATTAGTTTTTTCGATTAATAATAATAATTTTAAAATTATTTACAACTCACCTGATAAAGATTCAACAGAATTACAAGCTAAAGCTATTGTTAGAGCAATGGATATTGAGAAAATTTCATGTTCTGCATATAGAACTCTTGCAGCTATTAATCATAATCTTCCACGTGAATGGGCAATAGCAAAAATGCGGCAAACAATTACAAATGAAATTAATACAATAATTAAATCTTTAGTTTTTGATCTAACGCCAATATTAATTCATGAAATTCCAGATAACGAAGAGATTGATATCACTAATACAGAAATTATTGAGTCAGTAACTAAATCAATTGGAATGGGCGCATATAGATCAATTAAAGAAATTTTAGCTTATTTAATTCCAGTTTGGCTTAAAAAAGGAATTATAACAGTAGATTTACCTATTATTCATATTCGAATTTCTGGAGATGGGCGTAATGTTGGAAAAAAAGTAAAACATGTAATGTTTACATTTACAGTTTTAAATGATTTAGGAAATATTTTCAAACCTGATTATCACCATACCCTTATTCTTTATCCTGGTATTGAATGTTACGAAAGCTTAGAAATTGCATTAAGTATTTTAATTTCAGATCTTAATAGTATTAAGAATTGCTATATAGATAAACAAGGTAGACAATGGCAAATAAAATTATACTTCAGCGCAGATTGGAAAATGCTTGCTCTTTGCTTAGGACACAAGGCCGCTAATTCTAATCATTTTTGTCTTTGGTATGATTCTTTTTCACTAACTAAAACTAGAGCTTCATATTCATATTTGTTATTCAAATAATAATTCATATTCAATAAATATTCGAATAAATAATTATCTAACAAATAATTCGAATAAACAAATATTATTCGAATAAGCAAATTTATTCAAATAATTTTTATTATTCATCACATGAAACTTCAGCTATTAGTTGCTTCATATATAGTAACTATATATTTATTTGGCAAATACTCGAATAGATATTTGCTGATTTAAATTATTTGAATATTCAAATAAGGAATTCAAAAGCTCTAGCTAGAACTAATCATAAAAAAATATATTTAGTTTAAATTTCTCTAAAGATTGGACCTGAGTAAATATTGCTACTATATAGTTATCTGAAATATATAATTAAATTACTCAAATAACTCGAGTAATTTAATTAGATTTTTTCAACAGGTCTAATCTCTAGTAAAATTATTTATTATTAATCTAATTACTCACCTGTTAAATTTTTTCTAATTTCAGGTGTCATTGCAATAAAAATGAGAATGGAAATTTAGATCGTGACTGGACAATTCAAAAAAATATAGAAGAAATTAATAAGAATTATATAACGATTAATGGACATAAGAACAAACCACTTTTTTCAATGATTCCACTTACTAACTGGGTTCCAGACGAATTACATTTACTGTTGAGAATTACAGATAGGCTTTGGATTTTAATTCTTTCAGAATTAAAAACCACTAAAAAGTTTGACAATATGAGAGACATCATTGTAATGGAAATGAAACGCATTAAAATTAAATTCCAATTTTGGCAAGAGCAAAGCTCAAATATATGGCAATATACTTCTCTCATGGGCGACGACAAACTTAAAATGCTTAGAGAATTTGATTTATCTACTATTCTACCACCAGAACGTGCAATTTTAATTCGTAAATTATGGGATAGCTTCCTAAACCTCTATACTAGTCTAAAGAGTCAAACAACTACAGAAAATCAGTTTAAAATTAATGCAATTGCTTGGCTTCAGTTATTTCTCATGAAATCATCAGGAGAATTTAATAGTAAAACATTTACCAAAGGGCTTTATAAACCTAATGATATCACTCCGTATATACATGTGATGGTATACCATATACCTGAGTTTATTGATTTGCATAGAAACTTTGGAATAAGGGGTTTTTCTTGTTCAGCCGTTGAGAAAAAAAATCACCAACAAGTGTCTTTTTTTTTCCAGAAAACTTTAAAAGATGGAGGAAACCAACATACTAGAAAAGCAGCTATTCTTGAAATACTAGATTACGATAACTGAAGTCTTTACTTTTATACTCATAATATTCTATTATACCTTGAAAAAGACAGCAAAATTACTATTCAACTACCCGATCACTCCACTACTAGTTAAAATATTTCAGAATTCTTTATTTGAAAGTTTTCAAAAATACCCTGTATCTGTCATAAATCGTATTGTAATGTACCCAGCTTGTGATGTATGATTAACAGCATCCATTAATTTGCGGGTTTGCCATTCAATATTCATTCCAAATACATTTGATTTGCGCTTTTGATGATTTTTTTTCTTGCCAATTTCTAAGTTTACTAAATCTGAAAAATTACTTGTTGAAGAAAGAAGAATTACAGCTGTTTTTTGTTTCTGAGCATATTGCCTAATTCCCCAATTTGGATCCTCAAAAATCTTACTTAACATTTCATATGCACCTTCGCCACTAAAATCACATTTATATAACCCTTTACTAGGAATATATTGTCTTAAATACCCTCCGAATACTGCAACAAATTGGCTTTCCATGCATGGGACAGATAAACATTGCTCTCCTGCTGAATTACTATTGTTAGAGAGTTTTTTTTGAATCAAATATACTAACATTTTTTTAAATTCATTAACGGCATCAAATGGTAAGGTGGCAACTCCATCACGTGGTATATTATAATCCGGATGAACAAGCTTTTCGTGTCGCCCAAGGCCTCTTTTGGTTTTATAAGTTTTTTGTGGATACAATAAACAAGAAACACGTGCAGCTGAAGAAATGCTAACTCAATCTGAACTTGAATCGTGTATACGACCCTCGTGTATTTGCAGACCACGTTGGTTTTTAAAGCATCGTCTTGGATACAAAGAGCACAAGACAAGTGGTAAGGTAGGTATAGTTAGTGGCGTAATATGGTTCATTATATACTAAATTGGATATAATATAATTCAAGTTACTAAACATCTGATCTCTATTTTTCTCATATTGATCCAAATAAGTTATAATTCATACCTATAAAATCCCGCAGCGATTTATATTAGGTTTTTTGATAGAATATACTATCCTTATTCCTGATTCGTTACCCAAGTTTTTGAGACGGCGTCGAATGACTTTTGCAAGGATCCTCTATTATTTGACAAATATTAGATCTTGTAAAAATAATCAATAACGCAATGTATGACCTCTTCTTGTCTTAAATATATAAAGTTACATGTTTTTACCTCTAAACGAAACTGCAAGTTTCTGACGTCCCAACAAAATAAACTTAGAGCCCACTGTAAAAAATTGTGTTGTATAAACATGAGTGACTAAATAAAATTTGTAAATCGATTCACAAAATTTTACCTTAACAGACTTAACCCCCAAAAGTTGAACCGTATTGGTATACAACTAGTTTTTTTTTTTTTGGTTAGAAATACGTGATGTAACTTTGTAAAAACTACTTATTTATATGACACAACGGTAAAATGTTA